TGTATATTTGCTAATGTGAGTATCTATCTAGAAGTGGATTTTACATTCGTGAATATCTATGAGTGTATGTGTACCTATGTGAGTATCTACGAGTGTTTATTTACACATGTGAAGATCTATGTATTTTTATTTCTATACGTGAATTTCATGGAGTGTTTATAGATATATGCGAATAATCAAGCCCAAAGATGCCCACAGAATATGCTTGATAGTGTATCAGTTTCGTTTCATAATAGGCGTGTCAGCATGTCGATTAACCTTAGTTTCATTTTCTCGATATTTTCCTAAAGGCGACAGCACAGGTTGATGGCACCTTTGAGCTGGGAATCTGCGAATGCCACTCACCGAGTGGTGCCTTTTGCACCAAATTGTAAGTGCCGCCTATCTATTTTGAAGCCAGTGGGGTATGCGTGTTCGATTGAATCTGTCAAGATGTGTGCGACGTAGAGATAGGGATGGATGGTTTTATACCATGGCTATATACAAGGTTGTTCAACTATGCATCTTGAGGTGTTCTCACGCTGTCTTCACGTGCATAGACACATCGTATAAGTGCATGTATGTGCGTGTGCAAATAGGATCTGTGGTTTGTTTGCGTCCTAAATAAAGGTGAGTCTGCTGGTGTTTACGATACATACACACACACTTACATACATACATACATATATATTCATTCGTACACGCTTTTCTCGATACCCTAGCCAGTGCCATGCAATTGTTCAGATATAAGCACATCCAAAGATACGTCGCATTGTTGCATAACCCTATGTACCCTCACACCCGCCACCTGTACATTTCCTGATACAGAATCCTCTCGAATCTGAGCATAAGCGGCTTCCAGAACTCGAGTTTTATTGCGCTACCGGACTTAGAAGAGTTGGACCTATCCCACAACACCCTGGGCCAGATAGACCTGGCCCTCCTCCCAGCCAATCTCAAGCATTTAAACCTCAGCGCAGTGGGCATTGCCGAGCTCTCCTTCGGGGACAGTACGCTCAGGTGGGTGGGGGGACTAATCACATACGTGTAGCAGCTCAGAGCCCGATTGTTGCAAGTCTGTGGATGTGTATTGGACGGGTGTCTTATCTGTTGTTTTGAGATATGTGCTGGTTTTGTACTGTCAGGTGTTTGTTGGTGTATTGCTTGTGTTGTGGGTGCGCGATTAACCGGCGTGATTCCAAATAATCCATTTTTATATATAGGTTTTTGCTTAAGCTGCAGACAATCTAAAGGTTGGGATCCAATTTGTGCTATTTAACAGATTCTTCCGGATGTCAAACTATCTATCCATGTATCACTCCACTGTGAGGTTTTGTGCTGGTTTTGTGCTTAGCTGTGGTGGGCTGTGGGTTGTCATGTCACAGTATGTCCTATGTCACTGGCAATGTTCTGTACTATCCTCGCGTTAGGCACCGTTTGTGCCTTGTCTGGCACCTGTCGAATGCCGAGTCTAAACTTACACACGGATGTACAGACACATCACACACACAAGAGCAGACACATAAAACATACCCAAAAGCTGATACACATAGACATACATATGTTTGTGAGTATAAATACACTAAAGGACACTCATACACACCATTTTACATTTTATATACTTAGAAAGACACTCCAGAATGCCTCAGCTCATGTGTTACTTCCATTCCTTTCTCACAACTTGTACCAATCCAGATCGTCTTCGGAGCTCGAAGTCGTTGACGTATCGTACAACGCATTAGCCGACGTGGACGTAGGACTGGTGCCGCACTCACTGCTATCGCTGAATGCCAGCCACAACAGAATCTCAATGATATGGCCCGGGGCTATGAGGTTGGTTCAACTCAAGTGCGTATGTGTGCGTATGTGTGTGTGCGCGCACCGGGAGAGGGGGTGGGGGCAGTTGTCTGGTTGGTTGTCCCGTTGTCTGGTTGGTTGTCCCATTATCTGGTTGGTTGTCCCGTTGTCTGGTTGGTTGTCCCGTTATCTGCTGTGCACAGTTTCTCGTCCTCTGATAAGCTCAGCTCAACCGACAAGTGCCCTCGAGCATTCCGCTTGACACACTCTCTGCGACCACTGCCTCAATGATACTCATCCAGTCACGTCCTATTCGCTCCTCTCACAGTCCGTTTGTCGCCCTTGAGCGAATGAACCTGTCCTCCAACGCCCTCACGACAGTCGACTTGAGCGTCTTTCCGCAATCCATTAGATGGCTGGACATCAGTAACAACTCCATGACCGAGTTGTAAGTGGTGTATCTTAGTTCTTTGGCGTGTGTTATGTGCGTCGCGTGTGCTCTGGTCTTCATTCATAAAGTTGCAAGTGCTGTGCGTAGATTGACGCCAGTGGACATGCCTGTCCGTTGCTGCAGGGTTCACGAATACATCTCTGTTATTAATAT